CCGCTGACCAAAACTGCCTTGGCTGGGGATAATCGTTAGGATCGTGGGAACGGGGGGTATGCTCTTTCATCCGAGGCATGCGGTTCACCGCTGCGCCCGGACAGTCCTGGTCGCTGATAATGGAAATCTGTGAAACTCTTGCAAATCTTTACGACGAGTGCCGGCGGCGCAAAGGCGAGAAGTACGTGATGTAAAAGGAACCGCCCTCAGTCCGTAAAACTCTTGCACGAGCTTGAAGTACCCGAAGGAGGGGGAGAGGGGTGGGCTTGGGGCGGGGTGGGGTGGGCACGTCTGCGGGCAATACTTCTGTCCACGTCCACTGCAGAATGGAGCTTTGGGTACCGTAATTTTTGAGTCGGCGATGACCCGGGTCATCCGGAGGGGGGGGAGGGGGCCGGCCGATAACCCAACCTTCGCGCTGTGGGCAGCCCTGCATATGCCCGCGACCACCGTTGCTGCAGCCCCTACAGCTGCTAACGATGCTGCCGCGATGCTAATATTGGTGATGGGACGATGCGGGCGACGTCCGAGAATGCCTAGGGCCTAGGGATGTCTGGACAGCTCGCATTGGAATACGCGGGATGTGATTGCTAAGGGTAGCCGCGAAGTCTTGTGTACACTATCTACAGAACACGCGTGCACCGCAATGCCTGTTAGCACTACAGAAAAGGCGTGCGCCACAACGGTCTTGTATACCACAGGTGCTGCTGCAGCAAAAGCTTCTGCGTGCACCACAGCGCCTGTGTACACCCCGATGCCTGTGCACACCACAGGAGCCGCGTGCACCACAGCGTATTGCGAATATTTGCGCCACAGCGCTTCCGCGCACCTCCAAGGTCCCGCCGGGGCCTAAATCTGGAAAATCCCAGGGGGCCCGAACGTATAAAATTCAATACGCAAGTTATTTGTGATTATTGATTTTTCTGGCCCCTGGTACGGTCCCTTCTCCATTTTAGGCCGACCATGTCTGTGTACACCACAGTGCCTGTTTAGTGTACACCACGACGCCTTTGCACACCACAGCTGCTTGTGTACACCGCAATGCCTGTCTAGACCACAGTGCCTGTCTACACCACAATGGCTGTGTACGACAACAACCTAGTGCACCACCGCGTCTGTGTACACTGCGGTGCTTGTGCATACCACAGGAGCAGCGCGCACCACAGCGTATTGCGAACATTTGCGCCACAGCGTTTCCGCGCACCTCCAAGGTCCCGCCGGGGCCCAAATCTGGAAAATCCCAGGGGCCCGAACGTATAAAATTCAATATGCAAGTTATTTGTGATTATTCCCCACATGCTTCGTGGGGTTATGGTTTTCTTTCCTGCCGCGCCGCACCCGCGACACTCACACCTCACACCTCCCTCTCCGTCTCTCTCTCTCACACACCTCACTCTTCCCCTCCTCCTCACAGCACTGCTCAGTACAGCTCAGCTCAGCTCAGCTCAGCACGGCACAGCTGAGCACAGCTCAGCTCAGCTCAGCTCAGCACAGCACAGCACAGCACAGCACAGCACGGCACAGCACAGCACAGCACAGCTCACCGCACAGCAGCACAGCACAGGGCATTCCTTCGACGCCACAGGGGGTGCGCTGGGGGTGGGGGCCCTATGCGTTGTAGGCTCCCAGGGCGTGGCAGGCGTGGCATTTCCTCGACGCCACAGGGGGTGCGCTAACGGTGGGGGTCCTATAGGCTCCCAGGGCGTGGCAGGCGTGGCATTTCCTCGACGCCACAGGGGGTGCGCTAACGGTGGGGGCCCTATGCGTTGTAGGCTCCCAGGGCGTGGCAGGCGTGGCATTTCCTCGACGCCACAGGGGGTGCGCTAACGGTGGGGGCCCTATGCGTTGTAGGCTCCCAGGGCGTGGCAGGCGTGGCATTTCCTCGACGCCACAGGGGGTGCGCTGGGGGTGGGGGCCCTATGCGTTGTAGGCTCCCAGGGCGTGGCAGGCGTGGCATTTCCTCGACGCCACAGGGGGTGCGCTGGGGGTGGGGGCCCTATGCGTTGTAGGCTCCCAGGGCGTGGCAGGCGTGGCATTTCCTCGACGCCACAGGGGGTGCGCTGGGGGTGGGGGCCCTATGCGTTGTAGGCTCCCAGGGCGTGGCAGGCGTGGCATTCCTCGACGCCACAGGGGGTGCGCTGGGAGGTAGGAGGAGGAGGAGGAGGAGGAGGAGGAGGAGGAGGAGGAGGAGGAGAGGAGGAGGAGGAGGAGGGGGGGGGAGGGGGGCAGCAGCTGCAGCAGCTGCAGCAGCAGACGCAGCAGCAGCAGCAGCAGCAGAAGCAGCAGCAGGAGGAGGACACCGAGGAGGAGAAGGAGGAGCAGCAGCTGAAGCACCGATGGTACACATGGGAAATACAATAGGTATGTGGGGTTCCTCGGTAGCGTAATTTACTTTGCTGGCCCATGGTACGATTCCCCCTTTTTTGGCCGACCATGTCTGTGCACACCACAGCGCCTGTCTAGCGTGCGCCACGACGCTTTTGTACACCACGTTTGCTTGTGTACACCGTAGCGCCTGTGTACACAACAATGCCTGTGTTCACCACAATGCCCGTGTACACTACATCAGCCGTGTGCACCGCAGCGCCTGAGTACACCACACACACTACTTGCGTACATGACGTGCAGCACGGTAGCTGCTTCAGCACCATACTCGTGCAGCACAGCTCTGGTGCACGGAAGCGCTTACGTACACCACAAAACTGCGTACACTTTCAGGGCCCCCAACGGGACCGAACTCCAGAAAATCGTGGGGGGGAATCCGAACGAACCAAATACAATAATATGAGAGCTATTTGTGATGATTGTTTTTTTGCGCTTCTGTACACCACCATGCCTTGGCTGCCTGCGTGAATGAAAACTGATGTTGCAGCAACAGTTGTGCACACCACAAAGCCTGTCTTCACCATATTGCTCGGGTGCATCACGATGCCCGCGTGCATTTATGCATGAGTGCACCACAACGCCTGCGTACACAACACATTCTGCTGCCACAGCAAAAAATGTGCGCACCAAATCGCCCCGCTGCCTATGCACAACGCAATGCCTGTGTACGCGCTGCTCTCGTGCACCTCCAGATGCCTATGGACGACGTCGGTCGTCATCGGTCGTCGGTCGTCGGTCGTCGGTCGTCGTCGGTCGTCGTCGTCTGTCGTCGTCTGTCGTCGTCTGTCCTCGTCTGTCGTCGTCTGTCGTCGTCGTCTGTCATCGTCGTCCCGTGCCACTCCGAGCCCCAACGTTTCGCCAATGTGCATCCAAACACCAGCATGCTCTTGCGAACACCACTGTGCCGTTGAACACAACGTTCCCTGCGAGCTCCCTGCGCCCCCCCCCGGACCTGCACAACCGGCAGACTTATCGCCGAACCCTAACAAAACAGTCTCTGTGCCCCCTTCCCCAGAACCCCCCGAGGCGCACTGGACATGGATAAAAACCTGGCCCCCCTAGAGGCTCGACTTTCGTCCACACCCAATGCGCCTCGGCCTTGCGGCGCCCCGCCCAAGAAAGTCCAAGACGCACTGAATATATATATATATATATATATATATCATGTCTGCAACTTCGGGGGGAGGTGTCGCTTGGCTCCCGGTAACTGTAACGCTCTTGGGCGGGGTGGGGCACGTCGGGGCGGGGGTGTCGCTGCACGACATCCTCCGTCATACGCGTGCGAGCACCAGCATGCGGGGGAGGAGGAGGAGGAGGAGGAGGAGGAGGAGGAGGAGGAGGAGGAGGAGGAGGAGGAGGAGGAGGAGGCTCAGGAGGAGGAGGAGCAGGAGGAGGAAGAGGGGGAGGAGGAGGTTGAGGAGGAGGAGGAGCAGGAAGAGCGGGAGGAGCAGGAGGAGGAGGAGGAGGGAGAAGGAGGGAGAGGAGGAGGAGAAGGAGGAGGAGGAGGGGGGGCGAGAAGGAGGAGGAGGAGGGGGGGCGCCCAGCCCCTCCTGCGTGAGATCGCTACCGTTCATCCCGGGCGAGGGGGGGGGGGAAGGGGGGCTGGGCCCAGGGATCAACTGCTTCTAGAGGCCTCCTGCATGGGGTCGTAGTAGATGGGATCGGAGGAACGCGCCGTAGCGCCGATACATTGGCGATGCATCGGCGATGTATCGGCGATGCACCGGCGATGCATCGTCGACGTCGGCGATGCATCGGCGACGTCGGCGTGCAGCAAAACGGGCTCCGCATCGAGCCGCGTCGGCGATGCATCGGCGATGCGGCGCGATCCTCCGACCCCACCTGCCCCGACACCACCCGGGAGGCCGAGAGCCACGTGCCGGAGGATGACGCACCGAAGCCACACCAACAGAACAGCTCCCGAGGGCGCCTCGCCCCCGCGCGGCGCTCCTGCTGCCGCTGCTCCCCGGACCTCTCCCCCCGAGCGCGCTCTGGCCAGGCTTCCGAGGCGCACCCGGCGGTGGCCGCGAGGGCCTCCCAGGACGCCAGGAAAAGGGGGGGGGAAAGCAGAGGCCTCCCCCAGATGGGGTCGGAGCAGAGGTCCGCGGATCGCGCCGCATCGGCGATGCAGCGGCGATACATCGCCACTGCTCCGGCGGTGCACCGGCGACGGCGGCGGTGCATCGGCGCAGTCGGCGTGGAGAGAACCATACGCAACATCAAGCCGCATCGGCGATGCCTCGGCGATGCGGCGCGATCCTCCGACCCCGTCTACTCGGACCCCATCTGGGAGGCCTGGAGAAAGCGAGGGAAGGGTAGCGGCATCGGTACCTTACACTTTCTGAGCGGGACGCACAAAGACACGCTAGTACGATATGTCTTCCTTGGAGGCGCTCGTCCGAACCGAACGTATGATATACCCTTCTTGTTGTGCATCGTTTCCCGAGCGGTGTGGTCAGAAAGCGTTCGCCACGACGCATATAGTGCAAAGCAGGACAATCTCGAACAGAAATGCGATAAGACAAACCCGTGCAGACCACAAAAGGTTCTTGGAACAATCGTTGGTGGACCAATCGGCAAGCCGGGACGCTTCGCCACTGCTTGCGACTGAGCTCCTGCGCCGTCCGCACCGTGAGCTCGGAGCAGTCCAGCATCACCGTGGCCGCGAGGCTCGCTGGCGTGGCCGGCTCGGCGCCTGGCGCCGGGCCGCGTCGGTGCGCCCCCACCATCGCCCCGCTCGGCCTCCGCCAGCCCCTCCGCCCCTCGTCTCCGCCCCCTCCCTTCTCCTCGTCCTTCCTCCTCCTCCCTCCTCCATTCTCCATCCTCCTCGTCCTCGCCCTCCTCGTTCTACTTCTCCTCCTCCTCCTCCTCCTCCTCTTCTTCTTCTTCCTCCTCATCTCATCATCCTCCTACTCCTCCCCCTTCCTGCGTCCTCTTCCGTTGCTCCTGACAGGGAAAGCCAGCCCTGGGGAAAGGGCCGGGGTTCTGGGCACCCCGTGTGGGAGAAATCAAGACATCGTAAATCAGGGTGCTCATCCCGACCCTCCTCCCACCTCCGCTCCTCTCTCAGTATCCTCCTCCTCCTCCTCCTCCTCCTCCTCCTCGTCCTCTATCTTTTTTTACGTTAGGCGGACTTCAGCAACTAGGCTGAAGCGTTCTTGTGGCAAGAAAAGACAGTCGAACCGCCCGAGTGCAGACTAACAGGTGCAGGAGGTGCAAAGAGAGGCGGAAAAATGGAAAGCCCGCGAGGGCAAAGAGGTTAGAGCTGCAGGCGTCGGCAAAATAGCCCCCATCCCCCCATCCCGCCGTCCTGTACCCACCCCCCATCCCCTCCCAGATCAAGGCACTCATCGGGTAAACAGCGCTATAGGAGCCGATTATGTAAATGCCCTGTCCGAGGGAAATTGTCATAAGAGTACGTGCGAGTCAGCGTGATTAAAACTGCCTGTCTCAAACGAGGATCCTTCTCCTCCTCCCCCCAACCCATGCTGCCAATCATACCCAGCCCTTGGCTGCCCTAGTACGAACACGCAACGCGTAGCGCAGTGGCACGGAGCTAAGCACGTAGAATGAAACCATTGGTCTGACGCGATACGTTCGCCCAAGCGTTGACCAATGCGTTGAGCCAAAACGGAACGTATTGACACGGACGTTTCGAGCACGGCACGTGTTGCGTATCAATCAAAACGGAGCCCCTCAGGAGGGTCAGCACTCGTGTGCATGGCTGGCGGTCGGCCCTCGAGTTCGGCTGTCCGCTATCGCATTCCTCCTCCGACCAGGCCTCCCACTCGCTCTGCCTTGAGGGTTGCCGACCGCGCCTCTGTCTCCACTTTCGTGGGTTCCGTCTCGCCACTGTCGGCGCCTTCGAGGGAGCTCGCGGCGCAGCGCCTCGGGGAGCTGCCAACTGCGCAGAAATCGCCGCTGTCGTGATCCCCTGACCTCAAACAGCCTCCTCCTCCTCCTCCGTGCCCTCATGGAGTGCGTTTTGACTTCTGTCCCCTGAGGGCACGGGGTCCTTCTCAACAAAGTGCAAGTCCAAGCCAAGTGGGAGCCAAGCGTTGAGAAACACACAAGAACAAACACAAAACAAACGCTGGCTCTCGGCCGACGGGCCACATTTCCCTTTCCAGAGACCCATGTTTCTACCACGTCCCAGATCCAAGGCATGCGACAGACGAGTTTTGAAAACGGGCCGCGGGGCAGCAGTGGACCCACAGCGCAACGACTTGAGGTTCGTCATAGCCGTTTTGGCTGGACTCCAATGTGAGCCCCTTCAGCTGCGCGCCCAGACCGTCAGCAGCCCCATTTGCGCCCATCAGTGATGAGTAGCCGTCCCCGTGGAAAGAAGAGAGGCGACAAGCAACACAAAAGACGCCGCCAGTCCTACGACAAGGACGACGCTGGTTCGGGGTCCGACAGCCCGTACACCATGAGGGCGGATGCAGGAGTGGACGACGCCATCGCGACAGCAAGCACCAGCTGTACACTTCCCGACGGCATAGCCACTCAGATGTCCATGCTGATGACACAGCTGTACGGCCACCGTACGAAGGTATATGACATGCGCATGGCCTTGGCTTCTCACAACACGAATCCAAGTATGGTGACACAGCCGTGGGTGTATGAGCTCCGTGTGAGGTTGATTGCCACCCGCATGAAGCAAGATCTGCTGTTAGGCGAAATCGAGGGCATGTGCGGCAACACGAAGCAAAAATGCGAGATTCAAGGCCACGTCATTCGCGGCTCATGGCTCCCTGACCGCACGTTCGTGGCAAACTAATGAAGCAGGCTGCTCTTTGTCTGTCCCTCCTCCTTCGCCTTCCAAGACGAGTCGTTTGGTGTTTTCAACCATTGCCTGGAATGGCTGATAATCCGTCGTCCCCTCCAGGCTTAGATGTTTCCTGGCCAGGCTGTCCTGGTCGGTGAGGAGGGGGCGCCCCGCTGCCGTGATGCTCAGGCTGGGCAATCGCGCGGCGACCCTCCCCATTTGATGTATGCGATTGTTATATCTCACCTTTTCCCACTGCTCAAAAATCCGTCCTGGTCTCGACTCGGCGCGTCGCTCTATGTGCTCGCTGCTCCTCCTCCTTCTCCTCCTCCTCCTCCTCCTCCTCCTCCACCTCCTCCTCCTCCTCCTCCTCCTCCTACCATGGGGTCTACCATAAGGCCCCACATAGGGTGCCCATCGGGTCTACACTGGGGTCCACCATAGGGTCTACCATAGGGTCCACCCCATATGGGGTCTAATAGGGGGCCTCTTGGGCCGTCTTGGACGCTTCGTGTGGACCCTCTTGGGCCGTCCCTGATGCCATCTTGGACCATCTTGGGCAAACTTGGGGGCCGTCGTGGCCGTCCTGGAAGCCATCTTGACCAATCTTGAAGGGCGCGCCGCTGGATGTCCCCAAGGGGGGGGGCACCCCGAAATGGTACGAATTACAACCGACTAGTCCCAATTCCAACCGTTCGGAGCGAATTGCAACCAGAAAAGAGACCAAGTCCAACCACAACTGAGACCAATTCCAACCCAACCAAAAATGAGACCAATTCCAACCACAGACGGGATCTTCGGAATTCCTTCGGATCCCTTCGAATTCTTCGGAATTCCTCCGGATTCTTTAGGACTCCTTCGGAATTCCTTGGGATTCCTTCGGGATTCCTTACGATTCCTTCAGAATTCTTTAGGATGCTTTCGGAATTCTTTAGGATGCTTTCGGAATTCCTCAGGAATCATTTTGGAATTCCTCCGGATTCCTTTGGAATTCCTTGGGATTCCTTCGGAATTCTCTGGAATTCCTTTGGATCCCTCCTTCGGAATTCCTTTGGATTCCTCCCTCGGAATTCCTTTTGGATTCCTCCTTCGGAATTGCTTTGGAATCCTCCTTCGGAATTCCTTTGGAATCCTCCTTCGGAATTCCTTTGGATTCCTCCTTCGGAATTCCTGAGGACTCCTTCGGATTCTTCGGAATTCATCAGCCGTCCTTCTGATTCTTCGGAATTTCTTCGGAATTCCTCCGGATTCCTTCGGATTCTTCGGAATTCCTCTGGATTCCTTCGGATTCTTAGGAATTCCTCCGGATTCCTATTACTATTACACCGCACTCACATCTATACCCCTGGGTGGGTGTATGTGCGGCCGTTTTTTGCGCTGTCATGTGCGCGCATGTGCGCAGCATGTGCCAGTCATGTGCCAGGCCTGTGCGGCCCTTCTTGGATGGACTTCCTGCTGTGCACGTCGTGCCCGGGCATGTGCGCTGTGCTTTGATGTATCCATCATACGCACATGCACGCACAGTCCGACGCACATGCACGCACTTGCCTGCACATGCGGGAGGTGTTCAAGAATCGCAGATCTGTCATCGGCACATGAACGCACATGCCTGTGCAACCTCTCTTCGGGAGGCCGCGCGGGCCCGCACATGCACGCACATGCGGTGAAGCGCGCGGTCGCACATGCGTGCACATCCCAATGCACATGCACGCTCATGCCCTAGGAGCTGCCTGGGACCCCTGTGCCTCCAATGCCTCCTGGCCTTCGCAGAGCTAACCTGGGGCGTGCCAGGGTTTCCTGAAAGAGTTTGTTGTGCGTTTAGACTCGCCCGCTGCTGGCGGGGGCGGTTCTTCGCCCGGTTCGTGAGCTGGCGGTGGCGCGCCCGCCTAGTAAAATACTCTCCCGCGCGCCTTCTCAGCTCGGCCGGAGAAGCAGGGATGGGGGGGGGGAGGTGGAGGGGGGGGGAGGAGGGGGGGCGGAGGAGGCGGGCGCCCCCGGCTCGGCCGGCCCGCCTGCCTGTTCGGCTCGGCCAGAGGAGAAGGAGGAGGAGGAGGAGGAGGAGGAGGAGGAGGAGGAGGAGGTGAGAGTTGCGAGGATGTCTCAGGCGAAAGTGGCTTGACGGCCCGAGCTCAGGGAATCTCGGAATCGCTGGCCTGGCTCGGCCACTGGCGAGTTCAGCCTGTGCGAATACTGTGCGTACCTGTGCGGGGCATGTGCGGGACGTGCAAAAATGCCGGGGCCGGCGTTCGTCTCCGGGCGCCGGCGCGTTCGCGTCCGGCCGGTTCCGCGCCCGACATGCTTTGACATGAGGTGATTTGGCCACCTTCGCCTGAGACATCCTCGCAACTCTGGTCTCGGAGATGCCCTGCCCCATGGTGGCCTGGCCACTTTCGCTTGAGACATCATCGGAACTCTGGGTTTCGAGACGCCCTGAGCTGAGGTGGTTCGACCACTTTCGCCTGAGACTGCCCCGCAACTCTGACCTCAGAGATCTCCTGCCCCATGCTGGTCAGGCCACTGTCGCCTGAGACATCCTCGCAAGTCTCGATTCCGATATGACCCAAGCTGAGGTGGTCAGCCACTGTCGCCTGAGACATCCTCGCAACCCTGACCTCAATGATGCCCTGCTCGATAGTGTCTCGGCCCCTTTCGCCTGAACCATATTCGGAACGCTGGGTTCCGAGACGCCCTGAGCTGAGGTGGTTAGACCACTTTCGCTGTAGACATCCTCGCCCGAGATGCCCTGAGTTGAAGTGTTCAGGCCACTTTCGCCTGAGACATCCTCGCAACTCTGACCTCAATGATGCCCTGCTCCATAGTATCTCGGCCTTTTTCGCCTGAGACCCTCGCAACTCTGGGTTCCGAGGTGCCCTGAGCAGGTGGTCAGGCCACTCCTGCCTGAGACATCCTCGCAACTCTGGGTTCCG